CTATTCTCACTATGCCCGACAACTGTTCGATGGATCGCCGGAGTTGAAAATAGTTGTCCCGTCTTCTTTCTAGCAATGGATTCCGATTTGGAGTACATATACAAGAAGTATGTTGAGTCGTCCGACGGCTCGTCGAATGAGGAGGAGTACTCTGCTGAGACGGTGATGATGCAGGCGGCCCTTGAAGACGCGGAGCATGCTCTCAATTTCAAGGGCTCAATCAAGGGTCATCGAGTGCTCAACCACAACAGGGAGCATATGCATTTGACACTGATGGCCGACTACTTTGCCCCCGATGCACTATTTGCTAACCATTTTCGCCGCCGTTTTCGGATGCGCAAGACTGTCTTTGATCGTTCGTACCATGGCGCCCGCTTCTACGATGACTACTTCATCCTGAAGAAGGACGCCGCGAGAATGGTTGGCTTCTATGGTTACAAGAAGTGCACGACCGTACTCCGGATGCTTGCATATGGCACGGCCGCTGATTCGTGGGACGAGTACCTACGGATATGTGAGAGCACATGCGGAGATGCCATGGTCAAGTTTGCAACTGCCGTGGTCAAGGTGTTCGGACCTCAGTACCAGAGAGAACCAACTGTGGCAGACATTGAGAGGCTCTTGGCAATCTCAGAAGCAAGAGAAAATGGAAGAACTACCCGAAGGCTTTACAAGGGCAACATCAAGGTCATTTTAAGAAGCCCGTCATCATTCTTGAAGCAGTTGCATCACAAGATCTTTGGATTTGCCATGCTTTCTTCGGAATGTCCGGGTCTCACAATGACATCAATGTGCTGCAACAATCACCGTTGTTTGTGAGGCTGACTGAAGGAAAAGCTCCTCCTTGCCACCATACTATCAATGGACATGAGTACAACATTGGCTACTATCTAGTTGACGGTAGCTAACCTTCATGGGCTACCTTTGTCAGCACCATCTCAAGCCCAGTTGGCCAGAAAAAGGCTCACTTTGCCGAAAGACAGAAGGTGGCTAGAAAGAATGTCGAGAGGTCATTTGGAGTTCCGCAAGCCCGTTTTGCAGTTGTTCGTGGACCTACTAAACAATGGGATCCGGAAACCTTGTGGGAGGTGATGACATGTTGTTTGATCATGCACAATATGATCGTCGAGGATGAGAGTGACGATGTCGCGGCAACTCTAGAATTTGAGAACATGGGTGATCCTATCAACTTTCGAACCAGAATCCAACCACATTTGAGGAGTTTATTTAAATGCATCAACAAATTCGGCATCGACCAACTCATGAGCAGCTGAAGGAAAATCTGATTAAGTATCAGTGGGCGGCGAAAGGGGAGAACAATGTTGGGATGTAATATTTGAACTTCTTTTAAATTTAAACTAGTGCTGCATGCGCCTATTTGATCGTGCAGACTTGATTTTTTATTTAAAAAAGACTGGATGTATACGGCTACGGTTGGATGACGTCCTCTCGCATCCGTGTCCATGGACGAATGCGGAGGAAATTTGCGGGTCACAGTTGGAGATGCCCTAACCTTGCCCAATATAAAATACACACAGTTGCTAGTTACGTTGCCTGAGTTTTTTTTGCGTGCATTACTTGTCTTTTTTTTTGACTTCATTACTTTCACATCTACTAAAATATTAGCCGTTGATAAACCTTAGTTTTAGTGTACAATTATATAATAGATAGATATCCCCGAAAAAAAATTAGATAGATTCAACCTTTTAGTAAAAAAATAACGTATGCGAGCATCGGAAGCTCTTCCTCCTACATCGTGGACATAATAAAAACTGCACGCATAATTTGATGGAGGAGTTTAGTTTGAAGAGTTTATCAGTTTGGGAATTCGAGGATGGAGTCTAAACATGGACAATAGTTGAGAGAAACAAAATAGACACCTTCGTAAAACGAAATCACTAGTGGTTGCTGGTTAGTCGCTGTATAAGACAGATGCAAACACATGTTTCAGCAAGTATCTGGACTTGTGGAGTAGGAGTAGGAATGTAGGATTTAGGGGTACCAGTACACATTGGATCCGACATAGTGATAGGGCCGGGCTAGTACAAGAAGATCACAGAAGCAACTTTCACCGGAATCTGACTAAGGCTTGGACGGGTGCGACGGCGGGACGCCACAGAGCTCAGGGGATGTGACATTCCCGCGCGCCGCGCCTGTGCGCACTCTGCTCCGCGCGAAGAGGAACCCGACGGCGTGGCCGGCGACTGCCGCGAGGAGGACGCCGACGTTGAACGACATGACGGCCAGCATCACCAGGTAGGCCATCCCCATCCTGGCGGCGTGCACCGCCGTCAGCAGCGCCGCAGATGCCGCCGTGGCCGGGGCGCCGTCCTCGCCGCGGCGGGCGAGGCGGCGCGAGAGCAGGGCGAGGGCCTCTGTGAGCGCGGCGAGGGCGAGCACGAAGAGGAGGCAGAGGAGGTACATCCCGGCGCCGCGCTCCCCCGGCCAGCCCGGGAAGAGGACCACCGCGCGGTCGCCCCAGAAGAAGGTCATGTGCATCATCCCCATCATTGTGTGCGGCGCCGCCGCCTTCGTGGCGGCGTGGTCGGCCGGCGGTGGCGGCATCGGCATCGCTCCCATGCCGCCGGCGTCGCCGCTCATGTCCCTCATTGCTGGATGTTTCTTGGGTTCCTAGCGAGGCGGGCAGAGCAGGGAAGGGGAGGCGCTGGGGCAGCGGGATGTAGCGCAGATATAACGTGACCGGTGGCGCGGAGGAAACTTACTAAAATCAGGAGAAGCGCAGGGCAGCGCGGTGGGAGCAGCGGAGCACGGAGCTCTGAGCGCCCGTCTCGTGATTGCACTGAGCAACCGAGGAGGGGACCGGCGTCGCCGTTGCTTGTCGTCTGCTCAGCCGCGCGCGCTCGATCGAGACGTTTTGTAGTAGTACGTACGCCGTAGCGGCCACAGATTGGCTCGGCCCAGCATTATTTTCTCAGCATCTCATCTGAGGCGGCGAGGATAGTTTGGTAGAGCTAAGGTTCTGCTACTGTATTGTCAACCCCTACCGGTGGTATTGGTTTCCGTCTGCCAAAATTCCGACTCCGACTACTGGTGTCCGGTGGTTTTGCTGGGGTGCGCATTAGGTTGGCGTGAGAAAAGCATGCCCAACCTGCCAGTCACGCGCGCAGGTGGCGTCGCTAGTGACACCGATCCAACTCTGGAAGCTCTCTCATTTGATGGAATCTCAATCTACTCACCAGGGAGTATTTAATGGTTTTTCCTGTGCAAGCAACAAACACTGCAGTCTGCAGAGCTATAGTGCATACCCTAGGTTTCAGGTCCATTTCGAATATTTTGAATGCCACACCACCGCATTATTGTTCCTTGTTGTGTGTGCCACTGTCACGACATGTTCATACTCCATGTTCATACTAGTATTGACCTAATTTTAAAGAATTATTAGCATCGGAGCATCTACAACCGGACCTCCCAAACTCGTCTCAAATGTCCGGACAAACCATCCAGTCACATTTTTTGATTCAGGCGGACCTCTCAAACGGCCCTCAAACGCCCGGGCTAACCGGCACCCCCCATATTCAGCCCAAATATGGGGCGGATACGAGGGCGTCCGGGCACGCCCATTACGTCGAACTGACGGCGTGGCCCCACACGGACTCGCCAGGAAACCCGACGGTCCGACGGACGCCTTGACCGTCGCTGCAGTGGGAACGTCGCGTGGCGCCGCTCTGGCTAGCCGGCTATTTAAGCCAGCTGGCGCCCCACAACCCTAACCCCCCCCCCCTCTCCGTGCCGCCAGTCCGAGCCCATCCACCTCCCCCTCTCCCGCTCCGGCGCTCTGTCCACGCTCCGGCACTCCGCCATGGTCCGTAGCAAGATCACGTACTATGCCATGCTGACGCCGGAGCGCCGCTACGAGATCCAACAGCAGATCCGGGCAAGGGAAGCCGCGCGCGCCGCCCTGATCACTGTCGGGCTTCCTTCGGACTCGCCGGAGCGGGAGGAGGAGGAGCAGCCGGGGGAAGGGGAGTAGAAGGAGATGGCTCCGATGCAGGCGGAGGAGCCGGACCAGTAGATGACGGCCTTCAACATGGAGCAGGCGAAGGCGGAGTTTGCCGTCGCCTAGTCTGACGAGATGGCCGAGCAGCAGGCTATCCTAGAGTCTATCCAGGATGAGGCCTATATGGAGGCCAGCCGGGTGTTCCTCCGGTGGCAGCAGGCGGAGACCGACGCGCTCTTCGACGAGCTCGACGCGGAGATAGAGGCGGAGGAGGCCGGAGCGGAGCCGCCGGAGCTGCACCTGACGCCCATGCTGCCGGAGCCGGGCACGAAGATCGTCAACATTTCCGACGACGAATAGCTAGATGATCGACGTAGTACGTAGGTTTATTTTAGTTTGCATGTCTTTGTATGGATTTAAGAATCTAGTATAAGATGTCCGGTTACAACTATGAAAATTTTAAGCATGTCCGGTTACTGCCCGGACGTGTCTGCGGGCGTTTGAAGGTCCAGATTTTCCATATGTGGCTATAGATGCTCTTAGGAGATATCAAGGGCATCTCTAACCGATCTCTTATGATGTATTGCTACCTCCGTTCCTACATAATATAAGTCCTTTTAAAGATTTTAATGCAAACTTACCTAGCAAAATGAGTGATCTACACTGTAAAATACGTCTATATATCTTAAATGTACTCCGTAATAGAATCTCTAAAAAAGCATATATTTAAAGCGGAGGGAGTATAATAGTAAAATTACTGTTTTTCTTCTTTAAATCGCACCTAACCGATCCCTCAAAACTTTAACCAATCCCTCAAAACTTTAGAGAAGCATAATTTTTACTCCAGCCTCCTCTCGATCCGTAAATATACTCGGTTGTAGCCGGCTAGAGTATAAATTGTGTTTGCTTTGAAGGGGCGCTAAGAGGCTGGGCAGCGGCCGGGGCGGACTTGCCATGCCACACCATGCCCGTGATTGTTGCCTTGGTCGCCGGGGTTGCCATGAAGGCCATCGATGCGGCGGCCACGGAGCTTCAATGATGGCATCTACAGATTGATTTTTTTGGGTGAAAACCTAGATTCTACCATTTGTGTTTGGATCTATTGACAGTGGCTTTTGACCGCTGCTCTCTTTCTAAAGGCGTTGCTGTTGAAGAACCTCGTCGTTCGTGGTGTCATGAAATGGTTGGTGTTGATATGGTATTTTCTGTAGTTTGCAGATTGTGGATTAGATTGCTTTGCGCCTTTTTTCCTCACTGACACACATAGCTTCGGTCTTATATGACTTTGCTAGCTATCGACATGTTTGTGTGTGTTGGTGTTGTTTGTGTGCATTCTAGCTATGCATAGGTCGGTTATGTGCTCATTGTGTTTGTATCCTCACGATGCTCCATTTTGAGTCAATAAAATCCATCCTTTGTCGAAAAAAAGAGAGTAGTCAGAAGAGATTAGACGTGGAAATGCCGGAGGTGTTTGTGTTTGCATTTCGGTAACACCTCGAGGTGGAGGCTATCTTAGCCTTATATTCTTTATGCGTATTCGAGAAAAAAGAGTGGAAATGACATCCCAATCCTCTACCTTTCATATGCCTATGATTTGAGAATCATGTAAAACAAATGAGCCTTTAATAGAAACAACGAGATAAATGAAGCACAAAACAAAAATAAAGTGATAGGACATCTTAATGGAATTTCACATAACATTGCTTACCCTAAATTTTCCTAAGTGGATGATCTGACTAATAATATCTATCAATCCGCAGGAGGTGTAAGATGAATGTATTATCCTCTCAAGCAACCCTGCAATAAGGTACAAGCAGTTTCTTGTATTCCCAACACACCTAATACAGTTGTCAATTGTATAGGTGCACTAGTTTGTCAAAGAGATTGACAGAATGGATGGTAGATAGATAATTTGGCTAATCCAAATTTTTATATTTTTGTGATAATAAAAACACCAAGGTAACAAGAGGTGAAGTTACTGAAAACGAGGTTGCAATGGTTGGAAACAAGGCTTAGGGTGTACAGGTTCACTAGTGTCAACAATCAACATGATAACTTCATTAAATACATGATGTAACCTCACAGAGCTCCTTTTTATTGGATCGGTTCCGAATGAGATAACGTAGGTGCACAAATTGTCAACCACCTCAAATTTGTCTTTTTAATCTTATTTTTAGCCACACCCAATGTCACGACAGGAAACCCAAAAGACTATACTATGATAATAGCAAATGATCTTTCATTCTAGCCTTAATTTATTGAGTCACCACAATGTGCCACGGGTGTCTCAAGAAGTTATACTAGATATACATCATGTAATCTCATTAACCCCTAAAGTTCGAGAACATAGCATGAACAAGGCCAAGTCCATAAAGATACTCACCACACGATGTACACCATACAATTCAACTAATCATCAATGCTCTAGATCATAAGCATGGTGGCAGTTCATATGATCAAGAAAGAGAGGTACATGACACATAACTAATACCACGTATATTTAGCCTTGAAGGGGGACCACTCCCGCATCACCATGGAGTGGCAATGGTTGATGTAGAGGTCAAAGACATAGATTACTCCCTCCAGTAGAGTGCCGGATCAAGGCTAAAGAAGATCGCCTTGGGACAGGAAGTTGCGGCGGTATAAAAATCCGTGGGTGTTTTTGGGGTATATATAAGCCATCAAACACTAGAGGTCACCAACGGGAGCCCTAGGATGCCTAGGTGCACTCAGGCCCGGGGCGCCTACATAGGGTGCCTAAGTGCCCTTGGGCCCATTTGGCTGGCTGGTTATGTTGGGGAACGTAGTAATTTCAGAAAAATTTCTACGCACACGCAAGATCATGGTGATGCCTAGCAATGAGAGGGGAGAGTGTCGTCCACGTACCCTCGTAGACCGTAAGCGGAAGCGTTATGAGAACGCGGTTGATGTAGTCGTACGTCTTCATGATCCGACCAATCCAAGTACCGAACATACGACACCTCCGAGTTCAGCACACGTTCAGCTTGGTGACGTCCCACGAACTTTGATCCAGCAGAGCTTCGAGGGAGAGTTCCGTCAGCACGACGGTGATGATGATGCTACCGACACAGGGCTTCGCCTAAGCACCACTACGATATGACCGAGGTGGATTATGGTGGAGGGGGGCACCGCACACGGCTAAAAGATCAACTGATCAACTTGTGTGTCTTGGGGTGCCCCCTGCCCCCGTATATAAAGGAGCAAGGGGGGAGGTCGGCCGGCCCTAGCAGGACGCGCCAGGAGGAGTCCTACTCCCACTGGGAGTAGGATTCCCCCCTTTCCTAGTTAGACTAGGAGAGAAGGAAGGGGGAGACAGGGAGGAAGGAAAGGGGGGCGCCGCCCCCCTCCTAGACCAATTCGGACCAGAGGGAGAGGGGGCGCGTGGCCTGTCCTGGTCTCCTCTCTCTCTCCACTATGGCCCAATAAGGCCCATACATTTACCGGGGGGTTCCGGTAACCTCTCGGTACTCCGGTAAAATCCCGATTTCACCCGGAATTATTCCGATGTCCAAATATAGGCTTCCAATATATCAATCTTTATGTATCGACCATTTCGAGACTCCTCATCATGTCCGTGATCATATCTGGGACTCCGAACTACCTTCGGTACATCAAAACATATAAACTCATA